GATACTTTCTCTCATTTAAATGAGCAATTCTTTCCAAAATTTTAGGATATATTTTAGTGATAATTACTGATGTTTCAGCACAACCTCCAACTTCAAAGCAAGTAGGGTGGATTGAAAAATTTAACATCCACTACCACCTTAAAAAAAATTTAAAAGTAGTTTTTGAATCTCGTAATCTGCTTGTTTCTTTATAGAAAACTATAGGTTTTTTTTTTTTTCATCAATACACCTCAAAATAATGTAAAATGAAAGGGCTGTACATTCAGAGAAAGGCATATAAGAATGACAGAAGGCAGCAGAGACAGGAAAAAAAAGTATTATAAAGGCAAATGTAAAAATTAGGACTCTAGCTTAGAAAGAAGGCTAGCATCAACCAAAGCATCATCAATATTATAACTATATAAAGTCACATTCAAAGAAATATACAAAACTTACCTCTGTCAAGTTTTGTTCAAGTATCACTTTCTCAGTAAAATCCTCCTGATCATTTTACTTAAGATTATAACCTTCTCCACCCTTGTCACCTACCCTCTCTAGTCCCCTTTTTTTATTTTTCTCCATATCATTTATAACCACCCATTATAATACTCATTTATCTTCTCTCTCCATCATCCTCAATTGTTTGAATGTAACCTTCTCAAGGATAGAGACTTGATCAGTTTTCTTCACTGTTGTATTCTCCATAGAATTTCACTGCATGGCCCATATTGTATGTGCCAATATTTGCTCGATAAATAAATGGATGAATATAAAAAGTGAAAATGAGCTTGTACACCTAAACTGATTCTAGAAATTGAAAGGAACCCCTTGAGTCAGGAAAAAGGTTAAGATGACTTCACAACTGATAGTAAATTCACCAAACTCATCACCTCAAAAGATGATACAGAATAAAAATACATTGATTAAAAATAGAGCTGGACAGATTTATGAAAGACAGATCCATATAAAAAAATTTTTTCAGGATAAAGTCTCTATAATAGATATCAAAGCAGATAACCCTACCTTTCCACAGTACAACCCTTCATGGATATCATAAATCCAACCTCAGATCTGACTACGGTAATAATTCCATTCTGATACCAACAGGTGCCTTGGTATAAGCTTGGAACTCAAGTCCTGATTCTGCACATTTGACATCCCTACAGGACAGTGAAGGTAGGTAGCAAAAGGTGAAACTCACGAGGTTTGGGACATCCAAAATAGTCTCCCCCAAAGCAGATAGTCCTCATAATGCTCCCCATGCCTCTCCCTTATTAAGCTACATAAGGAATTCCCATATCCTGCCACAATCAGAAAACAGGAAGAAGATAATGGATCCTAAAAGGTACTCCCCAACTTCTGAAATTATTAGTCTTAACAGACACTAAGAAAATCTCAGGCAATTACAGAATTTCACACACATACTTACACATACATATATACACAAAATTCATATACACATAGAATTAGATAAAATAATTTTAAAAGATAAGTGGAAATCTACTGTCTACTAGATGATACCATATTTAAAGAAACATCCAAAATTCATGAATTCATGCCATTAAACCCATTTAAAAATATAGAAAGTAAATAAACCAACCTATTTGGACTAATAGAACTGCACTGCTTTTTTTTGTTTGTTTTGTTTTTTGTTTTTTTATCCTCACCCGAGGACATTTTTCCATTTTTTTGTTCAGGTAGAGTGGGAGGGAGAGAGAGGAACAGAGAGAGAGAGAGAAACATCGATGTGAAAGGGACACATCGAATGGCTGCCACCCGCACGACCAACCAGAGCCAGGGACAAACTGCAACCGAGGTACGTGCCCCTAGCGGGAACCGAACCCGGGTCTCTCAGGACCGCAGGTCGACGCTCTAACCGCTGAGCCAAATCAGCCAGGGCAGCACTGCTTTTTTTCTTTTAAAAAAATTTTTTTTCTTTATTGATTTTTCGAGAGAGAAGGGGGGGGGGGGAGAGAGAAACATTGATGAGAGAGAACATTGATGCCTCCTACATGCCCCCACTGGGAATCAGGCCCACAACCTGGGCATGTGCCTGACTGGAAATTGAACTGGCGACCTCCTGGTGCATAGGTTGGCACTCAACCACTGAGCCACACCGGCTGGGCTGAACTGCACTGCGTTTAAAGGTCAGTATAAAATCAGGACTAAATTATTTTCTATAATTTGATTAGAGGTAAACAATCTGAGGCTTCATAATTATTCACTGATTGCTCCTACCAGGAAAGGACACTGAGTTTTGTGTTGAATTCCAAAACCTACTGTGTGGTGGTCTGCCCTTAGGAAGCTTACAAAAAATTTAGAAAAACCAATCATTTACAAACAAAACTCTAAATCACAATTTCTAATTAGTATCAGGGTTAATAAAAAATTCATTAAAGTGATCTTATTCAAGTTAGGAACCACTCTAACTTTAGGAAAGATGAATTCAGGAAGTGCGACCCTGGCCCAGTAGCTCAGTAGGTTAGAGCATTATCATGATACACCAAGGTTGAGGGTTCATTTCCAATCAAGACAAATATAAGATTCAACCAATGAGCCCTGGCAGGTGTGGCTGAGTTGGTTGAGCATCCTCCCATGCACTGGCCGGTCACCAATTCGATTGCTGGTCAGGGCACATGCCCAGATTGCAGGCTGGATCCCCAGCAGTGGGACGTGCAGGAGACAACAGATCTGTTTCTCTTATGAATGTTTCTCTCTCATCAACATTTCTCCCTCTCTCTCTCCTTCTCTAAAATCAATCAACAAATAAAAACATTTAAAAATCAACCAATGAATGCATACTTAAGTGAAAAAACAAACATATTTCTCTCTCTATCTCACTAACTCTCTCCCTCCCTTCCTCTCTAAATATCAATATATAAAAAAAAATGTTTTAAGAAGTGTGGAAAACACATTCTAAGTAGAATAAAGAATGAGAACCAAGCTGTAAAGAAATGACAAGACAGAATTCAAGTGACCATAGGGTAGTGACAGAAACTGCTATTTACTGAGCATTCACATGTCAGACACAGTGCTGTTTGCCTATCTAATGTAATCTCTGAACCAATCTTTCAAAGTAGATTTTAGTAATCTTATTTCACAGAGTTTAAGTATCTGCCTAAGGTTAAACTATTAATCAGTGAGTAGTACTGCTAGAATTCAAACCCAAAGTTGTTCATATCAAAGTTATCACTCTTAACCAGCAATTTTCAACCGGTGTGTGTCAAAAATTTTAAAAACATGCAATATCTGACTATTTAGTCAGGGACTGACCTTTTTTCCCATAGATTGTCAAATAAAAAAATGACAACAGCCAACACGACAACAGCTGTCCGGTGTGAATGAATCAAAATTACACCTATATTTTTGTCTGATCAGCAAAAAATATGCTGTGCCATAGAATTTTGATAATTAGTTTATGTGTGCCATGAGATGAAAAAGGTTGAAAATTGCTGTTCTTAACCAACTGCAGAACACCATAAGCTAGGCTAGCAAAGAAATTACAGAGCAGAGTAGTGAAATATAAATTTGAAAATGTATAGTACACTGTAAGCTACCTAACAGCACGGCATAATGGTAATTTTGTGGCATTCTGTAAATATTTTTTAAATGATTCTAATGACTAGACGATGAGGAATCCTGAAAGATTCTCATCCAGAGACACATAAAACTTTGGGCTATTTGAAAATTTCCAAAGTAACTTCTTTTTTTTTTTTTTTTACTTTTTTTTTTTGTTTTTTATCCTCACCCGAGGACATTTTTCCATATTTTGTTCAGGTAGAGTGGGAGGGAGAGAGAGGAACAGAGAGAGAGAGAGAAACATCGATGTGAAAGGAACATATCGAGTGGCTGCCACCCGCACAACCGACCAGGGCCGGGGACAAACTGCAACCGAGGTACGTGCCCTTAGCAGGAACCGAACCCGGGTCTCTCAGGACCGCAGGCCGACGCTCTAACCACTGAACCAAACCGGCCAGGGCCAAAGTAATTTCTTTTTAGAAGATTCCATTAATCCATATTTAGATATAGTTTAAATAAAAATTTATCAATTATAAATTCTTAAGATATTAAAAACACATTCTATGTTTTAGATTCTTCCTCTTTATATCCAACAAATATAGCAGTCTAGTACTTAGTTATGCCAGTAACTGAATGTATATATTCAAATCTAGTTTAAAATTTTCAAGTATTTAGCACTCTCTTGTCAACTAAATTACACTCTTAATATTTGTATTTTCCATTCTGTTTTATGGGCCAGTAGGTATGTTAGCAGATCAGGAGTACTGTTAGTCTAAAAGTAAATTATTTAAATTCTGTCCCACCCTCCAAAAAAAATCCTTTTCTTCAATTAACAGAAAGCAAACCCAATTTAATGCATTGCATTCCAAGTCTCTCTTAATTCAGATGAAACAGCAGCATTAAACTTAAAGATTAAGAATGAGAAAATTCAATGCAAAAAATGCAAGAACTAACTAATATTTCATCATACTTTTGTTTATCGTATCTCCTTTTTTATTGAAGGCCAAGATAAATCCAAAGGGAATGGTTTTATAAGAAATGTCCATGGGGAATTACTTGTTAAGAACAAATGGCAAATGGTTTTCCCCTATAGGAAACCTACTCCTGTTTCATACAACTACATCCTTTCAGATTTGGTACCACAAAAGAAGCTGGTAAGAGCATCAAGTTACTGCCACAAAGTTCAGTTGTCATTTTCTTGGTCTCTCTTAGAGGGATTGTTTCGAATAATCAACAGGATTAGTGCTCAAACTGTGTGTTTTTATTACAAAACGGGATACCAAAATGAAGTCCAAGCCTAACCTCATAGATGTACTTCCAATTCTAATACACACACACACAAAATGAGACAAAATGTTGATAATTACTTATTCCTGCCACCATCTCATACTATTATTTAGTAAACAACATATCCTTCCAAAAATTCAGATTAAGAGGTCATACAATAGCATGACTGCTGGTATTGCTTCTGGTTGCTATGGAATAAAAGGCAATCCCCTTACATTCTCATTCTGCTGGTTCTCGCTTACTAAGAGTGCTGCAACACCTTTAAGCCCAGCTGGGCAAGTCTCAGCTTGTACCACAGATATCAGCTGCCAGTGTTTTACTTTTGTTCAAAGAGAGTGACCTACAGGAACAAATGTTTCAATTGTTTAAAATTAATAATTCAATAGTTTACGACAATCTCTAGAATGGTTAGAATCATCAAAAAAAAGTAGAGGTGCATGACAGGTCTAAGAATTATTTATGATTTATTCAGAGTACAGAATTATAAAACTTCAATGTACTTTTTCTAGAAAAAAAATATGAGTTTGAACTTGTAGATAAACAAGTATTCTGAGTACTAAAGGTAGTACATTTGGGTTGTATGCCTTTAAGAAGTTTTGTACTAGATATGGTATCACAGGAGGACACAGCTAGAAAAGCATGGAGTCTGAGGTCCAACACCCCCAGCTATGATAAACATTATGTCATTATGCATGTCACTTAACTTCCATGCTCTTATCTTTAAAATGAGTGGGGGGGCTGGGGGGTTGAACTATATAACTTTCTCAGACTTCAGTTGCAGTTTGTTCCCGGCCCTGGTTGGTTGTGCGGGTGACAGCCACTCGATGTGTCTCTTTCATGTCGATGTTTCTCTTTCTCTCTCTCTCTCTCTCTCTCTCTCTCTCTCTCTCTCTCTCTCTCTCTCTTCCTCTCTCTCCTTCCCACTCTATCTAAACAAAAAATGGAAAAATGTCCTCAGGTGAGGATAAATAAATAAATACATACATACATATATACATACAACTTTCTCAGTCTTTTCCAACTTAAAAATTCTGATTCTAAAACAAAACATCCTATCCAGCCAGTGTGGCTCAGTGGCTGAGCATCAACCCATGCACCAAGAGGTCCCCGTTTGATTCCCAGTCAGGGCGCATGCCCAGGTTGTGGGCCCAGTCCCTAGTGGAGGGCATGCAGGAGACGGCCAATCGATGTTCTCTCTTATTGACGTTTCTATCTCTTTCTCCCTCTCCCTTCCTCTCTCTCTAAAATCAATAAAGGAAAAAAAAATGTTTAAAAAATAAAAATAAAACAAAACATCCTAATTATGTCTCTACTAGAATCCTACATATTTGTGCCATTTGGAAGCATATGTATCTCTACTGACAGACTTTCTCACCTCCTTAATCTCTAGCACCCTGGCTATCCCTTTTGGTTGGCTGTGCAGAGCCAGACAGAGTAAATGGGCAGTAGAAAGTTAAGCAGAAAAAGGGAGAAAGGCTGAAGTTCAGCCCCTGACCCTCATCATACGGGTTTGTAGTTTCATCTCCAGACTCAAAAGCTTAGCTGCTATGCAGACAGGTAAGGTTCGAAAATACAGTACATTCTTGGATAAAGCTTTACTTTACATGGTGTTCTTCCAAATCAGAACATTAAGTTGTTTACTATTAGGGAGTTACTCCAATATAGAATAGGTAGACCAATATTATTATTCTCATATTGGAAATGGCTTATTTTTAAATTATACATGACATAAATTCAGTGGTAGTCAAATTTTATAAAAGCTTTTAAACACTAGCATAAAATCACCATTGCTTTGATTCAGCGATATTAAACTAGTGTGCCACAAGAATTTTTAGAATATGCAATACCAAACTATTTAGTTGGGGCACTGACCTCTTTTCCCTTAGATTGCCAAATAAAAAAATGACAACAGCCAACACAACAATAGTTGTCTGGTGTAAATGAATCAAAATTACACCTACTTTTTTTTTTTTTTGTCAAATTGGCAAAAAATTATATTTTGTGTGTGCCCCAGAATTTTAGTAATTACTTTTATGTGTCCCATGAGATGAAAAAGATTGAAAAATGCTGCTTTAATTGATGCTATCTTGAATGTAAAACAAAACAAAAAAGCCAAATAACACTTTGACTCTACAAAGATAACTAAAAACACACTCACACGAAAAATATTACAAACAATATTTACATTGGTATTACATTAAATTCATAATTTTTTTAAAATTCATACTATATTTTATAAATATTACTGACATTAACATTTACGCTATGATCCTTTGTTTTGCAGTGTTACGTTTATACTTTGTTTAATCATTATTTGGCTGATTAAGCTTATACTGGTGTTCTTCTGTATACTATTACATCTATCTAGTTTTGGAAACCTTGAATATATGGCAGTCTAATATACAGTATCACTTAACTTAGATGTTTCCTAATGGCAGAAAGAATTAAATATAACCCCTTGAGAAAAGAAATCACAGTTTAGTCATAGAAATAACCTCATTTAATTAGTATATCATTTGGTTATTTTATATCACTTTATTAATCTGTCTGGCTAGTTAAGCTGTAGTAGAAATCTTAAAAGACTGACAAAATATTTTAACTCCTATGGAACCTTCCGAATCAGAACAAAGTTTAGCAATTAAAGTTATATAACTGAAAAATGTAGGCCTTATTTAATGTAATGTATTTACTTCTTCATACCTAGACATTTAATTAGATCCAAACAAGGAAACATCAGCTTTTATTTTTTTATTTTATTTTTTTTTGTACAGATAGAGTGGGAGGGAGAGAGAGGGAGAGAGAGAGAGAAACATCGACGTGAAAGGGACACATTGAGTGGCTGCCACCCGCACGACCAACCAGGGCCGGGGACAAACTGCAACTGAAGTGCGTGCCCTTAGCGGGAACCGAACCCGGGTCTCTCCGGACCGCAGGCTGACGCTCTAACCGCTGAGCCAAACCGGCCAGGGCCATCAGCTTTTAAATAAAGAGATTTAGGTCTATATTTTGTATTGTTTATTAAAGTGACATTAATCATTACTTATTTTATGTACTAGTCAGCTTGTTACAGAATAATTTCCAATATGAATGGATTTTTTCCTGTAAACACTAGCACTGGAAAATAAGATTCTTTCATACCTGTTTAACTTCAGTCAAATAAAAAAAACAAACGAAGAGACCTCTTCATTCCCTGAAATTGGTGAATAAGAAAATATTAAACTGCTTTGAATGGTGTTATAAGTTATCACTACATTAGCCCTTACCATGATGTCTCTTCCTTTACATTCTTCTATTATGTCCCAGTAACTGAGTAGCTAACCTTGAAGGGAATACTCCTGAAGATAGTTGGTTCTCTTCCCTTATCAACTTAAAAAACGGCTCTTAACAGTTCACCCACATCTACCCACAAGCAAATTAAAAGAATGATGTACAAAAGATTAGCACCATTTCAACTCTGAGAGGTATATCTCAAGACAACTGTTTTTCTGTGCTGTGCTAATATGGACTGCTGTCCTTGTGCTTGCTCCCTTTTTAATGACAGGTCACATTTCAAGTAGAAGAGCCTGAAATTACTAAACAAAAGACTCTACCGCCCTGGCCGGTTTGGCTCAGCGGTTAGAGTGTCGGCCTGCGGTCCCGAGAGACCCGGGTTCGATTCCCGCTAAGGGCACGTAGTATATCGGTTGCAGTTTGTCCCTGGCCCTGGTTGGTCGTGTGGGTGGCAGCCACTCAATGTGTCCCTTTCACATCGATGTTTCTCTCTCTCTCTTCCTCTCTCTCCCTCCTATTCTATCTGAACAAAAAATGGAAAAATGTCCTCAGGAGAGGATTAAAAAAAAAAAAAAAAGACTCTACCAACAACTGAGAACAAACTTCCTGATTTAAATAAATACTGTGCTGAGAAGAAACAACATGAGCAATCACACTTAAATATTTTGTCTTAAAAATAATGTAAGCATTGTTTCAAGTCCACATTGAGTCTATTCTAAAAATTAGATTAAAAAATTTTCAAAGCAATAGTACAAAGGATTAAGTTTATTTCAATAAAAAACTATTTCAAATTATATAGGCTTAAGAATAAAACATACTAATTGTTAAATCTGTGTGATGAGCACATAAGGATTCCTTATACTAGTCTCTCTACTTCAGTGTAAAGTATAAAAGTTCCCAGTGTTAAGAATATGAACATTTATGGTACACAGTTTTCCACAACATATTGGCTTCCCAAATGTAAACTGCTATCGATATCAGATAAGCCAAAAGAGTATCTCAAGTGAATATATTATGTATATTTTGTATACTAATATTGTATAACTAATGTTGTATAACTATGTAATAAAATAATTATAAGAAAACTCAGATGTAACATCTGAATTTAATACTTTTCTAAACACAACATTAAGTAGTAGTGAAACCCTATATAATAATAGTCAAAGGTCCCAGAGATTTATTCTATTTCCAACAAAGATAAACACAAATGGTGCCCATAAAGAAACTTAAGTACAGTCTACTCCTCAGCTTCCCTGATTAGTTAAAATCACAGTAAGGAAAAAAAAACAAAAAACCTTTTTCCAACAAATTAGTTCACTGATCATACTTTTACTTATCCATCTTACCTTATTTTTATCTTTATTTCAAAACTCTCCACTAATTTTATCTAACTACATTTTCAATATCTCTTCCTACCCTTCTTTTTTATCTCCACTGATTCCCAAATATCATTTTGTAGTCTTCTAAGGTCCACACAGTTGGGAATATGTAATTTTGTATCTAATACCTCATTCTTTTTTTTTTTTTCTTCCAAAATACTCCTTAACATTCAATAAAAATCTGAGTCATTTCAGGATTTAACCAAAATAGTATTGGCACTAAATACACATTGGTATAAATCTTTTAATCCTTATTCAAAAGTAAAAGCCAAAGGACAATGATGTAAAACTACAAGTTTATAGACTGATATATCCAAGTATCTCTTAGGCCTCTGCTAGAATGTTTTTGAATCAAATATTAGAAATAATGTTATTAGCAGTAGTAGTGGTAATATCACTAGATATGCTGAATATGGCAAATTAGGTTTCTAATACATATAGCCCCTAAAATGACCTTTTACTCTAAATTGTACTTAATCATTTTGTTCATATTCTAGTTTATCCAATTATATGATCTTGCCCAAATTACCATAATTCTTACCACATTCCTTCAGATTAAGTGTTGTTCTGGGCCTGGTATGTCACCTATTGGCATTCTTTCCAAGGTTGGTAAACCAATAGGTAAATTGGAACTTCCAAAGCTCACACATAATACATCATATAAGAATCTACTGTAAGATTTGGGAAATTCTAGATAGCAATGTAAATTCATAAAACCACAATATAACAGAAGGGCTTACATTATCCAAGAAAGAAGCTTTTACTTTAAAGTTTACCAAGGGCAGCAGGGCTGGACATAAGTGAAATATCAGGATCACTACAATGACTTCCCCTCAAAAATTACTTTTTATCAGTATCTTCTGTCTAGAGTCACTTGCATTTCTGTCAACACCAATAAATGGTCAAGTCTAACCCAATCAAAATATTAAAATACACTGCCAACCAATTTCAAAAGTAAAATCATTTCCAAGCCATATGGTTCTCAAACCTTTGCTGAAACATAAATCCACATCTATTATACAGTTCTAGTCATTCAACATTATTTAAAAGGCTTTAAATTCAAAGCTTGACAGACTTCTAAAAACAAAGGAATATATCAAATGTTGATCCAGCAGCGCAATATCTTAATCGCCTATAATAAGAATAAATTACAATTTTTATCTTTAACTATGATATAATTTGACTTCAGTATTCATGGCTTGTATTAACTAAAAGTAGCCTCTAAAAATTATCATATAATGTGAGGCACTATTAAAAAAATATTCCCCAAATCACAGAAAGATCAATCAAAGAACATTAAGTCAAACATTTCCCCTAATTTTCTTTGCCTCAAGAAAACATCACTGGAGTGGATTCTAATGCTATTAAAAGATATGTATAATGCAAAAGTGGTACGGACAGAAGTTCTAAAGCACCAAGCACAATGTGTATTAAAATGATTTTCGCCTGGGCTGATGTGGCTCAGCAGTTAGAGCAACGACCCAAGGACCAAAGGGTCTTGGGTTTTATTCCCGGTCAAGGGCATGTACCTGGGTTGCAGGTTCAATCTCTGACCCTGGTGGAACGCATGTGGGAGGTAATCAATCGATGTGTCTTTCTCACATTGATGTTTCTCTCTCTCTCCCAACTCCCTCCTTCCCCTCCACTTGCTCTAAAAATCAATGGAAAAAATATCCTTGGGTGAGGATTAAAAAAAAATAAAATAAAATGACTTTCTAAAGGTCTACACAAACATATACACACACATATCTAAGACAAATTCCACTTTTCTTAATATAAATACACCCTAAAAATATAAAGTGACTTTCTAAACAAAATGTCTAAAAATGTTCTTTAAAGCATACAATATAATCACATTGTAAATAAAGACTAACTTCCTCTGATGTTTGTATATTAATTTTTCATGTTAGGTTTTCATTGTGGCATGTCAAAATACACACTGTAAATTTAACATGGTAAAGGTGATTTTCAGGTTACTAAAGTGTATCTTTCTGTGTATATTTTACTAACGACCCTTACACTGACACTTCATTAAAACTTATCTGCAAGATTGTCATCAGATATAATCAGACGCCAATCAGTGAAAGCCTAATGTGACAGATTATATATACTCTTTGGTTCTTTAAAATGTCAGCCTAAATAGGAGCAGGGGAAAAACGTAGATTCTTTAAAAAAAAATCTCCACAAAACAATCTACTCAAAGCAAAATGTAGATAGGGAGGCATAAGGCATTATTTCTGCTATCTGACATACAAAATAGATTTCCTCAGTACTCCTTTCTTTTATTCCTACCTTTCTAAAGCTGTGTATGACTAATCACAATATAGAATCCTTAGAAGGATACTATTGCACATCCACTAATGTACTAAGGGATAATAGACATACAGATACAGTTAATCTTTAGAAGAAAGCTATCACATATATAAAGTAGTAAGAAGCCTATCCTCCCAAAAGTGTATGTACTATGCACAATACTACAGCAGGAAAGGAAAAAAATCTGGAAATGGCTTTGATCACCTTTGTCACTTCTGTCTCCCCCCTCCCCACACCCCTAGTCATCACCTCAACCCCTACCCCCATCAAAATGTCACAGTTCAAAAACTCAAACTGGGTAGAACATGCAATGCACTAATATTTAACAATGGAAACAGGGTATGATTTCTAAATGTATCTGCTTCTTCCTGTCTCTCTCCAGCAATCTCCCTCACCGTCCCCCAACCCAACTAAGGCATGAAGAAAGAAACTTAACTGAAAAAAGCAAAGCGTTTCTAAAATGGGTATGCACAAAATAATCTATGCTAATTGACACTGAAGAGGGTCAGATACATTTTTAAGGATGCTAGTTATATACTGAAATATATAGGTGCTATCAAGCATTTGAATCTGAATGTAGTTCAGACTCAATAATATTTTTTAATTAATCAATAAAATAATTAATTTTAAAGAAACAATAATTACAATCCATTCAACTTTCATACACTCCTTATTAGATTGGTAAAAGAGGTGAGAGATAGCAGAACATAAGACATCTTGAACTAATGCAAAAATGTTTCCTTTTCATAGTCTGCAATGCTCTAAAATCTTGATAAGTCTACTTGCTGAATTAACATTAATGTAAAATTTTATGGAAATGCACAATTCTTTTTTTTTTTTTTTTAATCCTCATGCGAGGATATTTTTCTATTTATATTCAAACAGAGTGAGGAGGGGGAGGGAGAGGAGAAACATCAAGAGACACATGGATTGCTTGCCTTCCACACAAGCCCAACCAGGACCAGGGACCTAGATGAAACCGAGGTACTGCCCTTGACCAGAATTGAACCTTCGACTCTTTAGTCTGTGGGCCGATGCTCTAACCACTGAGAAAAACACAATTCTTAACCAAGAGACACAAATTTTCTGCTACCAAATCTGAATAAAAAGAATGTTTATCCAAGTATAAATAACATTCAGAAAAAAGAAAAAAAAGAAAAACAATAATATCAATGAAAAACATAAAAGATGGCAATGTTTCCCAGACAGTTTCAAAGTACTCCAAAGGCCCTGAGAACTCTCCCAGACTCCTTGACAGGACATTAGTTCTAAAACCATCAAATAGCATGAAGGGAAGAAAAAGTCAGGTTTTAATAATTGGGTTAGAAATGTTAAAAAATTAAATAAACAGAAACCTAAATTAATTTTTATTGCTTCTGGTGAGAGAGAACTAGCAAATCTCTCCCCATCTGTATGTGTCAAACTGCCTATTCACATACTTGAGAAATTATATCCTGTTTTAAATACCTCACTGGTGAGCAACAGGCAGGAGCCCTAACTGTCAGACACTTGTCTGGCACACACAAAGAGGAGCTGGCTGGTCAGGAGCTCAAGCTGTTAGACTCAGCTAATTCCTATGTGGGTGAGGACATCAAGGCACTTAGCCACAGCTCCC